AGCAGACTATAATTACTATCAAAATTTAACAACTCATGTTCTATACATATTTATCAAATGTGCGCAAAACGGGAACACACCTTCACAAACGCGTATTTTGCTTATATATACATTGTAAATGTTTCAAGAACTTGTACAACATTTTTATAAAAGAAATTCTTACTATATCATGATACAGATGTATATTTTATCGATTTAATTATAAGTAGACAAATTTACATTTTTATAACAAACCGCATATTATTATTGAAATTTCAATCTAACACATATTTTAATTTTTTTTTCTTTATAATATACTACATGTGGTACCTTTTTCCGAAAAATTACTTGTATCTATAAGCATATCTAGATCTTGTGAATCATGATGCTCTTGTATAATTACTGTTTTATAACCTACTTGTACGCATAATAAAAACAATTTATCGTTTTTAATTTGTAAATCATATTGTGATTAATGATTTTATATATTGTAAGCTACCCAAGGGGTGGCTAGTATTTCTGAATCCTCAGCATGTACAGTATACAGGTATTTACTTCATCATCTAGATAAATCATCTATTTACCAGGATGCACCAATTTAATTTGCTCTCATGTAAAATAGACCAGGCTTCTCTCTCTGTAGATACTTGGTGGAATAATACTTAAGATGATGATCAGTCATACTTATCATTTATTGTACGTACAGCATCTCATTATCATAACAATATAGGCAATACACAAATAACAACATAAGAAAACATGGCTGATTCTTCAGAAACACAAGTTTAGGTCGTCCAGTGTGGTAGGAAATTTCTAACTAGGCTAATTACGTGTAATTTACATTATAAGTATCTCACCGTCTTTGTTTTCTTCTTTATCTTTTTAAATGTGGCCGCCGTACAACTAGCTGAAATCTGTCGTAACGTAGTACGCGCTTGCTTATATAACCTCCCATCCCCTGTCACATGACACATATTATCCAATGAAAATATGCCGTACGATCTATCAACCAATCAACAGCTTGTACGGGAAGCTGAGTTCTCACACAGAACTACTTTTGCCACACAAGCTGCCGTACAATATCGTAACAAATATAACAACGTAAAACTAACAACTGGAAATAGAATATATAAAATAAACTTGACTAGACGAATAAATTAATACCTTCAATGTTTAAAAAACATTCCTAGGCTGTACAATAGGTACTGAACAATGTAGCGTATGAATATCGTAACTACAAACGATAGCGTAAACAAATGTAGTTCCGATTAAGCTGACTGATAATAAAGTTAATGCTGACAATAAAGAACTACTTATAGCCTCAAAATGCACAACAACTCAAATTAAGATGTAGAATCTGATCCAATATTCATAACTTGAATCATAGATCACTATAGTAAATATGTCACTAAACCGGAAGTGACGATCCGAGTAAAGTATGATGGCTACCAAAACAGGAAATGTTAAATCTACCCTCTTATCCCAGATATTACAAATCCTACGACTTTACATGAAGCAACAACGTAAAATATGACGATAATAGCTATTACTACAATCGTATCAAGATAAGCTGACATATTTTCAATAAAATCGTAAGCGAACAACTTTTCTGGCAGGCACATGATGAACATAAGATTAAACAAGTATGAGAACTAGAAAGACCGCACAATATTACGTATAAAATAAAGTGATATATTACAATATGTTACAATATGTTTGGCCAGAAAACATATATGTGCATTCATGTTTATATATCTATACCCTTCCAATCAAAAATTTTAACAACTTTAAAAACTGAACTCGGTAATTTTAAGTACAAATAAATAAACTTTGCATCTTATTTCCGGACCATTCAATTCACATTCACATGGAACACTTTTTGCGAGTGGTTTATTTTAATGTAGATACTTATGTATCTTTTTGTAACCAAACCAAATCTGTACAAGTATTAATAGTATCTCGAAAAATTGTAAAAAGTCAACATTTCATAAGTTCTATAGTTTTAAGTTCTATAGTTCTAAGTTTCGTAAGGTCGATACAATGGTCTTGTCAGCAAATACAATCTAACATTAAGTCAAATGCTGACTAAAGTTTTTCATACTAATTGTTAGGCCATTATTTACACACTGAATTGTCGACGGATTTTTCCGCTATTTCCCGATCATTACAAGGATCACATGGCGGGTATGACCGGTCAGCAGGGGATGTTCACTCTTCAATGGCAACTGATATCACCTTTGATGTTTTAGAAGTCCGTGTTTGCTCTGGTCCTGATTTGTATTGTTTAAATGGACTTTTGAGCTTGAATACTGTCCGTTATCTCCATATATTTCATTACAGGCAGACTGATGACGGACACCTTATGATCGCAAAAACATCCTTTTAATAATCAATAAATTTTCAAATAAAAAAATGCTGGTTCTTTTTATCTTTCTTCAAACGGTGGACCATACACAGTGGAATGTTTTCCCCATTATCAACATTTTTATGTAGGTGTACGTTAGGGAAGCTACAGGTTCTTTCTCGCCTAATTACTAAAATTCGTTCCCAGATGTAATTTTACATTGTTTGCATATTTCTTTTAAGAGAAGTGCAACTGCCTATCTGAAACATCATTCGTACAAAGAACTTCTTTTTTTCAAATTTGTAAATGGGTAAAAATCATCGACAAAATTGACAAGGAGTACAGCGTAATATGTGACTATGTTACGGCCATGTTAGAGTGTAAACAAACCGTGAAAAGTCGTAAAAAAATATACAGTGTATTTATAAAATAGTTTAAAAAAATAAATCTTTCTTATCTTTCTTATCAAAATTCCTAATGCAAAAATAAAGTTGAAGTTTTTTTTTCTCTCCTTAAAAAATGTGTAAATGAAAGGGAGGTTCTATTAAAAAAAAAAAAATTAATCACGATGTAAAGGGATTGTTAAGTATTTTGCAATTTAAATCAATAATTTTTCCACCATTTTGTCCTAACAAAAAAAGTGTTATTCTAAACTGAAGTTAATAAATTAAAGCTTATAACGTCTCAAATTAGTTCAGATGGGTTTTATACAATCTTCATTGTTTTTTGATGTTACTCTAATTTTTGCCATTCAGTTAAATACAATCCTTCTCTACCAGGAATAAAGTCCCATTAATATCCTCTATTTATGTGAATGTTAACCAAACAGGTAAGCTTAACGCATTCTTAAAAATCAAAACAATGAGAAGAGTTGTCTGTCTTTTTTTACGGGCTACTAAACTGATGAGTGTCTCAATGAAAAGTGGTATATTTACCAAAAAGAAAAAAGAAAGAAAAAAAAAACTTCAAGAGGCATAAACCAGTTTGTTTGTTTGTTTTTTTTTTTAAAGTTCCAAGCGATTTTTTTAATGATTTATAAATTGGAATCTGTGTAAGTCCTGAAAGTTTCACGTTTTTTTTGAGAAATCGCGTGCACAAAATCGGTAAGGAAAAAAAAAACACCCCAATAATAATAATGAAAGTGAAAAAAAAAAAAAAAAAAAAAAAAAAAAACTAAAAATAACAAGATCTTCTGTAGAAGACAGAAGACCTTAATAACTAGAGCAAAGCTCGTTGCAAAGCAATGAGTAGGTCTTCCGTCCTGTTTTGACCGGAAGTGAATCAATAAAAGAAAAGAATGAGTTAAGACATTAAGAAATTAAGAGGTTTTGATGCAAATCTTAAAGTCATTGGAGACCAATGACTTTAAAATTTGCATCAGAACCTGTAAAATAAGCTATTTCTGGCTACTTCCAGTTTGAACCGTAAGTGATATCAATGGATGAAAAATTTGTTTGGACGCTTCTGGTTAAATAAATTAACCAATACCGTGTCGAAAACGTCAAAAATATGCATTTTCGTTTAGGCCGGAAGCGACGTCATTTGACAACTTTTTTTTACTATTTTTCTTGCTCGTTTTGAGCAAATTTGCTCCTTTGATGTATCACAAATTCACAATAGTTTTTGAGTTATTGAGAAAACACTTTCAGTCCCTGTAGATCCTTTATTTTAAGGGCCAGTCCCTAATTTGTCGATATCAAATGAAAGGGCTTGTCATTCTGCACAACTTTTGTTCTATATGTTTTATCAAAATATTTACATGTAAAGAGATATTCTTGAAAAATTGCTGAAAATTTTTATATACTCAATATGACTATTTTCGGAGCATACCGAGCGTCAACGAGCGGCACTACTGGAAAAATGAACTACCTAGTACATGTTCACATTTACAAACATTGCTCTATTATTGCTGAAAATATCAAGTTCCTATAAAAAGTGCTTTTTTAGAAAACGAGTGGACAAAGTGACCCTCTAAAAATCACTTAATCGCAGAAATCTCCGGACCTGAAATGACGTCATCAAAACAAAAAATGTATATCTAGATCTTTTGATGTTCTACCAGACCTGAAAGTTTCATGAAGATCAAACAAGCCGTTTCCGAGAACTCGTGTGCACAAAATAGGTAGGGGAAAAAACCATAAAAAAAATAGTGGAAAAGAAAAATTAAGAATAACAGAAAGGTCTTCCGCTGAAGTTGGAAGACTTTAATCAAAGTGAAAAAGAAACTTAAGAATAACAAGAAGGTCTTCCTTAGAAGACGAAAGACCTTAAATAGTTTGACCATTGTACTAGTGGGCAGAAACCAAGCTATATAATCCGATTTTCAATCAAATACATGAAAAATTGCTCTCACATATATATTAGTACCTTCACATGGATAACAATTTGATTTTAAAAACACCAGTCAACAGTCGACCTAACGACAGTCTGTATTTGCAAACAAGTTCATTGTATCGACCATTATGATAGAATTTGCGGAATATTGACTCAAAACGAGCTTGTAGATGCCCTTGTACCTTAAACTTATATGTCAGTAACTTGCCTCGGTTCAAATTTTTTTCGTACTTATAAGATGTAATTGCGTATCGAATACATTGGGAGACGGAGACACAAAATTAGGTGTGATGGTGTATTGCTACACAAATAAGAAAGATAGTGGATAGAAAATAAGAAATAATTATGTTTCTTGTAAATTTTATTAGTTTGCCATCAATGTCTTTCTCTAGTAAAACATACAAATATGAAACAGATGCGACAGACTCTGAGATGTCGTTTATTTCATAGTTCAGGGAAATAAAAAACATAACATATATGATATGTCGTCGATACATCTAAATGTCGTACTGAACGCCACTGCAAGAGACTTCATGTAGAAGGTTTTGAATAAATTGTACTTATTCAAATATCAAAACAGGTCTTTTAATAAAGGGACACTTTTAGTACTTATATGTCTTCAAATATCCATTAGTTCAACGCAATAAATTAATCCTCTAAATGCAATTCTTATACTTCCAAAAACAATTACCGATATTTGGACTTCTTTGTTGTTGCCACGGTCGCTGCAGCAATCTCTGACTTGCGTATTAATTTAAAATAGTACCAATTTGGCGATTTTAAGACTCAAATAAACGACTTTAAAAAGATCGAAACAACGGTTTTCTAACTTTTCTTTCTTTATCGTAGAAACGTTTTTCATATAGATTGTATAATCGATTCAAAAGAAAAGGATGTAACGGATGCAAATTAAGCTCTTCACGCTAGATGGCAATTCATGGACACGACTTTTATTTTATCCGTGGCTTTGGTAAATTATTTTGAGGTGAATTTTATTTTGTTGGCCATTAATGAATAAAATTTCATGTTCATTTTTTCTAATGTGATTTACCCCTTTTTTTCAAAATATGAAATAAAAATTAACTTAATATACAAATTTTTATTGGTCAACTTGCAGAAGCAACAGTATATCGGTACTTTTCCAAGATCAAAGTCACAATGCCCACTTGAGTCAAATTACGATATTTAAATACATGTACATGAGTGAACCAGAAATGAAGTCCCTTTTTAACCCTCAAATAAGCCAAAGGACATGATTTACTACAAGTATACACATGTATTCACCATTGAACCTTCATTACAGGGCGATTTTAACATACTTCTATTTACAGGCATCTTGACTTGACAAATTACAGTTTTTACTGTTCTTAATGGGAAGAGTTTAAAAAAAATACATTCACGTTACGTTGTGTCCAGGGGCCAAAACTTATCACACTTGAGGCTACACTAAATAAGTTTTAATAGTTACTAAACATCTTCTCTGAACTTGCCATGTTCAAAAATGTTTTTGATAAGCAAATATGAATATTTTTTTTCTCCTATCATTTGAGACTTTGGTATTTTACAGTGTGTATGTAAAGAATATGTAGTCAGTTTGAACAACATTGAATCTTCATATACGAGTTTTAAATGAACCCAATCATTTTCATCTTTTTTTCTTTTCTCCCATGAAAGAGTCAAGGATTTTACTTTAAATTTTGAAAACTCTTTATTCAAAGATGTATTGTGTGAAATTGCACGGTTTAAAAATTGTTCCAGTTCTGAACGAGAGGTAAAAATCTTCAGAGATTACGGAAGGGCAAACTTAAATGAGAACACATGACAACGGACAAATCTAGACCATCAGAGTGGCTCACCTGGGCTAGCTCAGGTGAGCTCAAAATAAAGTACAACACGATCAGCTGATCTCAGTAACAACGTGCACAATGAAAATTGTAATGACAGGAACCATCCCGGGAAATTTAAGAAATCCCGGCATTTAAACACTTCTGCCATGTTTCACTTTTGGGACTCAAAACCTAGGTTAATTTGCTGCGTTTACGCTCTTCATTGTTTCCAAACCATTAGAACAATTTCGTCGTAGAATGTTAAATACAACAGCTCTAGTTCTTTAGGATGTTTTTTCTTCTTGTGATTTGAAATAAATTTTTCCGTCATCATTTTCGTACTTGCTGCTGGTTAGAATGTGACTTTCCCAATCAGGCCAAAACCGTTGTTTCATCCGTTCACAGTAAAGAACTATGTTTGGCAAATTTTCTGCAATGAAAAAAATATATCAAAATTTTATATGATAAGCTTTTAAGGTTGAATCGGCATTTTAAATATGATTCAATTTAATACAAAACCATTATTTATCCAGTATGTACATGCAATTCTTTCTGTGCAATGAAAAAAGGGAAAAAACTAAAACCTATTCAGGTGCGGATACAGGAATTTTTCCAAAGGTGGGGGTTGGGGATGTATGTACATCAACTTTCAGGCCCCTAGCAACGGTTTCAAAAGTGGGGGGACAACTCCCCCCCCCCAAAAAAAAGAGAAAAAAAAACTAATTTACTGTCCAAATAGTGGAAATTTCCAGTGCTCGACCTTACAACATCAAAAAGTGGGGAGGGGGGGGGGGGGAGGGGGTGATACCAGCATCTAAAGAAAAAAATTACTATAACAAATTCCTGTACTCAGAAAAATGTGGGGGGGGGGGCTGCCTTCTATGGGCCTGACTTTTACAGATCAAACTCAGACATTTTCCAAAAAGGTAACAAACTTCCCCTAACCTGATATATGCAGATGAAAGAGGTATCCCACTCACAGCCAGTGGATACGCGTTTTATTATACTGATATATATTATAATAGCACATTTTATACCATGGGGTATAGTTTTGTGGAAATCAGTATTGGCGTCAAAAGTTGAAATGAAAATTTTCTGAGGGGTGGATAGCACACATTATACGCTGATGTAAAAGCTTTGCTATATGTGAAATGTTTTTAGACCATGAAAAATAGTTATTATACCTTCTTAACATTACAAAGTAAACACTTTAACAGAAATTTAATAAAATAAATAGGGGAAGAGCTGAAGTTATTCCGATTGTTATATTGTTTAGTTAGTTTGCCATTATAACGTCTATAATCATGATAATCAATACATGTACAACATCTAATTATGGAACAAATGTGGCAAACTCTGTGGTTTCTTTTATTTCGAGTTTACTGGCATGTATCGAGTCGACATATGAATCGTCGACATACATGTATAATTCTCTCTATAAATGTTAAATTTTAGGCCACAACAAGAGTTTTCTTCTCGTGGAGATGGTTTTTTTTTTTATAAAGTAAATCCTGATTTGTAAGAAAATAAGAATCGGTCAATGATAAAGGGGTAATTTAGTGCCCATCGAAATTCCAACAAATTGTTGATTGTTGTGGTCTCAAGAAACAACATATTGTCGATGAGGAACTCCAGCATCTTCTTAAGTAATATCAAGAGTCAGAGTTTAAAACAGTTAATGTATGTAGAATCGGAATGTTACAAGTGTTTTGGAAGTAATACGACGCCCCTTTAAAACAAACATGTTAACGAATCACAGACACAGATAGGACTTCGACATCGACTCGGAATATATTTAGTGTTTACGATGGGGATAGTTGTTCTAATTTTGCTCTGTTTATGACCCACCTCTAACATATCTGTCATGTTTTGAGTTCGGCATGTTCAATATTATCATGGATAACATTCCAAACATCGCACAGTCTACTTCGCTTGGCTCAGATCCCATAAAAAATTCCTTGTCCCCTGAAATGAAAAGAAAATCAAAATAAATTTAACATGTATAGAATTATGACCATATACATTTTTTCTTTACATAGTGTCCAAATCTTTAAAAAAAAAATCGGCGTGTTGCACATGTACCAGTATAAACAACAGCCTAATCTGAAAACAATATTCGCAATTGAGCCCATTTATTATTCGTCAACTCAATAACAATATTGAAAATTTATAAGAATTGTGTTTTTCCCCGCAGTTCTGGAAAAGAAATGCATAATTTCTCTCTCAAACTGTTTCCGCGGGTATCCCTCTCAACATTCATACGATAAAATTGTACATTTCCTCTCACTTCTGTTTTATAATCGCCTGCTTTATTAAAAAAAAAAAAAAAGAGAACTGAAACAGTTGCATATAGTGATATTAAATATCAAAAGGTCAAGTGAGTCAGGTAACTTTAAAACAGAAAACATTCAGTCCGCAGATCGAAAAAATCCAGACACTTGGGATGTGTTTTTTAGTAACACTAAACAAGAAAACAAAAAAAACAAAAACAAAAACAAAAAAGAAAAAAAAAAAAAAAGAAAGAAACAAAAGAAACAAAAAAAAAAAAAAGAAAAAAAAAAAAAAAAAGAAGAAAAAACATGCCATCAACTTTAAAAACTATGATATGGAATTTTTTTCCCAAACAAAGCATATTTAATCTCTGATACAGACAGGAATAGGTAACGTCTTTGTATGTCGGTTGTACAGTAGTCAGGCCGTATGAAGCAATTTCGGTTGGGGGGCGGGGGGGGGGGGGGGGAGGGGCGCTAACAGAAGAGTCGTCAGATTATTTTTATTGAGTGACACAACCGTAAATTAACTCCCCCGTGACCCCCCCCCCCCCCAATACACACTCTTACCCCGGTTTCTATTCGCTAGGTACACGTAGTTTTGCAGAATAATTCTCTGAAGACGCTTAGTCGGACACTTTTTTTCTTTAAATGGGATTGACAATTTATGAAAATGTGGAAGCTAGCTGCCACTGAAATTAAATTTGCCAAGTACCTTGACCCAATGCGCTCTCCCACCTTCATTTTTTTTCACCATACAGGTGTCAAAATTTTACAAAACATATCAAAATAGTGTCAGATCAAATAGGCAGATATAGATGTTTCACAATTTTCTAGGTTGTTTATTTAAAATCCATGATTTGGTTTGAAGGTAATTCAACATTTTGTAAATGCCAGGCTATATATTGTATTTTGAAACATTTCCGAGGATCGCATCAAATGCTTCATCTTGTATTGAAATATTTGAATAATACTTGGCCACGCTTTAATGCATGAAAGTGATTTTATATATCACATTTAAAATGGTTCACTTATATCCATACGTACGAGTTCATTCATTCCTGGTATGGATATACATGTACATATACTAGTATTTTTTATATGAATGGATTGGATGTTTTTGGCGTTAAATGAGAATAATTATGATATGCCAAAGATTATATGCCTTCGGTAAATTAAGGTTCACCATCCGATGATTCCTCTGTTCGCTTATAAATATTTACTTTAATGCTTATGATTTTCCAAAAAGCAATATATTTTTAGTTTAAACACGAACAGTTTTAGCATACCTTGTGAGGCAAATTTTGACAAAAATTGCCTATCAACTTGACAATTTTATAATAATATAGTCATTTACCCTAATGAGAGTTATCTCTCTTGTAAGAGGGTTAACAACCTTAAGCAGTACTCTCTCTCTCTCTCTCTCTCTCTCTCTCTCTCTCTCTCTCTCGGACCCTAATCGATCGTGTTTATAGCTAGCTGAGCAAGACTTTTGTTTTTATAAAAATCTAAAAAGATGCAGAATCTCCACATCACCCATGCGTGACGACTATTAACAATTCCATGTTTTAATTGTGGGAAATTTTTCTTAAAAAAATATTTTTCTTATACCAAGAAAGTTCGATATTGCAGTCATGTCATCTACAGCTATGGTCCAGACCTCGTCCTGGGTGTGTCGGCCTATCCCATGGCCCCACGTCTCTTTCTTGATGACACGTTTAAGGAACCAAATGGTGAGCCAGAGTTTAAGCCCTTTGTATGGTATAACCTTCTCCACTGTGGATGTGTCCTCGCCGAACATTTCTATACACATAGTCCTATAAAAGAGCAGTACTTCATTATGGAACATTTCTATTCTATGGATGGTCTGGCGTGTATGTTGTGTGCCATCTTCAGATCCTGGCGGAAACATTGGGTTAACTTTGTTCATGGACCATGGTCAATCAATTTGTCTGTCAATCTGAGAAGGTATTTTGTTTTCGTACAAAAAAAGTTCCTTAGATCACTCTAGATCTTATGAACTCTTAGTACAACTTGAAGTGCAAAACGAGAAATAACAATACTATTATCAAGAGACCGATGGGTAACGAAGCTCACCTGAGTTATCGGTCTTGGCCTTCCTTCTTGCGTAGATTTTTGAAAGCATGTTCCTTTTACCAGTAAATTCCATTATAAAGTATATTTTAATGACTAACCGAACTTGCATTATTTAGTCTGAACTTTGAATTACTGTAACTCAAAGATGCATTGTGCTAGGTTTGGTTTGAAATTGGCACAAATTGCCTGTTGGTTCTAGACAAGAAGTCGGAAGTGGGCGAGAGTTAACAGACGACAAACAGGAAGCCAGACAGATGATGAGAAAAGCTCACGTAAGCCTTTTGCTTAGGTGAGCTAAAAATTAAAGTCTAAAAACAATTAAAGGTGATTTCATGGCTAACCCCCCTAACACGCCTCAAAATGCAATCTTTTTTTAAATACAAAAATAGTCATTAAATGAAAAATTTCGTGATATATTCCTTTAAAAATATTTGAAAAAAAAAGTCTTTTGACAAGTCCTCTGCATTTATGCTAAGGCCCTTTTAGATATTATGCACTTGAATGGAAGATTTGTCTTGTGATATGTGTATACAAGTCATTAAAAATTACAGAATAGTTACTTCACATCTTTACCAATATAGATTTTCTTCTGTCATCTTTTGAAACGCTCTGGCCACCGCTTGATCTGAGGGAGACAGGTCGCCATTAACGTCCACCCCTCTTTTTTTCTTTATATAGTCAATGCAGAACTGGGAATCAGCTATAGATTTTCCGTCATACTCTATCCAAGGCGTTTTCCTTTTGGAGGAAAACTTACCCGAGTGATCGTTCTGCAAAACAGTTGTAGAAATTTATAGGCATTGGGTAGAAAACATCGTTTAGCATTATCCCCGTAATCGTATTTACACTGTACCTGGGGAAAAAAGTTTAGGCTATAATTTTTTTTTTAGTTCTCAATTTCTTTTCGGAGGCATACTTTGACGAGTTATGCAGTACAGTGAAAGACAATTACAAAAAATGATTCATGTCCTAAATTACATTTTTTTTTTTACTACAATAAAAGGTAATTTCAAGTAAAATTTCAAATTCGATATTTTTAACACAGTGACTGCAGTTTTGTTCTCTCGAAAAATTTTAATTGAGCGATGGTTACTTAACATGTTATTTGGCATTTCAGCATGTTCAGTGATATTTTACCTTATCTACAGTGTAACATGTATATATAGACACTAATTAAGTTAAGTCGAGCAACGTGAAAGACCATAAATAATCAAAATCAGTAAAAACAAGTACACAAGCACCAACAATCAATATTTCGTACACACGGGGGTTTTCTGACGTAGATTTTTGACAGATTTATATTTATCTGTTTTCATTTTCTCTCTGTTACGAAAGATTTTCCCTCCCCTCCCTTCCGCCCTAACGTTTTTATTACAATCCATTGTCCTAAATCGCTCTTGACATTATTTTAAGAAACATCTTAAATTGTAGAACGACGGATTTGCTAACTAACATCAATTATCTCTATCAATTGAAGAGCTGGGTAATTAAAAACTTAGTCATGACAAAATTCCCCATGTGAGTTTGTGCTGTACGTATTGCCTTGACAAATTCATGTTAATAAACGAATTATTTTCCTTTAACCTACTTTATAAATAAAATTGTTGTTTAATGAACTATGTGTATCTTTAATGGGCGAAACATATAACTTAACGTTAGCCTATAATTATAATGACACATGTAACTGTAATTTTAAAAATCTGCCAAAACGAATTGTATAATCATTCCTTTTTAAATACTTTGGTAAAAAGGGTGTAGCAGACTTTATGATTAATCAATATATAAATGGTATCGATATAAACGAAACTCCTTCCTTGTCCCCTAAAGTACCGGCATATCATGTATCATTTAACATATGAAACTATGCACAACACATAGGTGTCGGAAGCAAATTGAAAGGGGGGCTAATTGAAAGTGTGGGGGGGGGGCTAAACCAACAAAAAAAAGGCAAGCCCCAAGTTTCAATGCCTATATTATGTCTATCTTTGCAAAAAAAGTTGGGGGGGGGGGCTAAGCCCCCCCTAGCCCCCCCCCCCCCCGGTTCAGACGCCTATGCATAACACGATAGTCGGATTGCGTATAGTGATTCAAAAAGTACTTACAACGTACGGTGTTTTTGTCATCCGTAAAAATGTCTCCAATTTTAAAGGAAAGGGGGAGACGCTGGGCGCAAATGGACCTCTCCCAATTTGATACAAAATGACCACATCTGGTGGGACGTTGTGACGCTTTGTTGACCTGTAAATAAATGAGCCAATCAGATCAACACGTTAATATAAACAAGTTCTAGATTATAGATTGTTGTCCTTCATATTTTTTAAGAAACTGCTAATACGCTTCTTTTTATGTCAACGAATATTTATTGTTCTATATTTGGATTTTAAAAAAGTGAGGCCCATAGGCCACAACGCTGAGGGATGCCGATTGACGCACCTCTGTTGTCGTCTTCAAAGAAGTCCCTGTCACAGGGGCCGTAACATACTTGTTTGATATTACGTAATCAATAATACAAATTTTGTATATATTGTGATCAATCACGTAAAATCAAGAAAGGTACGTTACTGGTCTCTACATGTGGTTCCTGCATCATATGTAATATAAGCGTAAAATTTTAAACAAAATATAGTTCCGCACGCAATATATCGATGTTCAAGGTGAAGGAAAGGATAGTTGTTAAAGGAAAAAAAATATCTTAATGTCTACCGCAGAAGAAGTTAAATTTGAAGTTAAACTTACTATTGAACTTTTCTACAAGATTCTTGTAAATAAGACGATAACGGAGGTGTAACTGAAGCTTGTGTAACCCGTTCTCTGGTGAGTTTGGAAAAAAAAAAAACTAGATGCTGTCATAAGACAGTAATACTCGCACGTAAGTGTTTGCCTTTAAGTGTATGCTAGCTCCCTTGTACCGATGTCATGCACTGTTACAACGCAAAATGTTATGGAGTTATTACATTTTCGTTATTATATTTTGCGTCGAAATCAACGCAGAATGTAATAACACAAAATGTAATAACAGATTTTTAGGATTGTTACATTTTGCGTCGAGATTAATGCATAATGTAATAATGTACTTTTTGATGATTGCTTTTTGCGTTATTTTAATTTTTGCGTTGAGGGCAATGCAAAATGTAATAAAATGAAAATGAAATAACACAAAATATAATTTTTTGTATTGTGTTCAACGCAAAACATCATAAAATTTATTTAAACATATCTTTTTAAATACTATTAAATATGAATAGGTATTGTGCCAAAGTGGATGAGTCGGTTAGCAGTGTGAAATGCTTTTAATGTACTTTATATAACTTTCCTTTAATTGTTAATGCATAGATAAATCTTTGTCTCATAGAATTTGAGGTTTTGTTTCCTAGTTATTTTTTGCATTGCACGCTTCTATCATAAAAATTGTATATCCACTGAATACTAGTGGTACTGAATGGAAAGATGATTTAAAATCGGTGGAATTTAACCAATGATATAATTCGCGAATCAAATACTAGTTACTCAAATATACGTAAACACAAGACATGGGGATGCCCTTTTGCATTAAATAAAAATTAATAAAAATTGTCATGTCTGAAAGCCAGGAAAAAATTTGGTCCCTTGAAATGGAACTTGTATTATTTCGTAGATCAGGAAACGGCTAATAATAAAGCAATATATAATCATTGGCGTGAAAATTATTCTTAACCTGCCTGACCAAAAATGTGTGTTTTTACATTTTGCATTTTGCTTAATATCGACGCAAAATATATATAATAACTAAAAATATAATAATCCAAAAAATATCTTATTACAATTTGCGTTATTAGATTTTGCGTTGACATCAACGCAAAATGAACATGTAAAATTCCTAAAGTTTCTTATAACATTTTGTGTTATTACATTCTGCGTTGATTTCGACGCAAAATGTATTAACGCAAAATGTAATAATCCCGGTTTATTACATTTTGCGTTGTTTTTACATTTTGCGTTGTAACAACGCACGTTATGTGCTTTCAAATAACCATTTTCATAAATTCAGTACTTAGTTAAATAATTCGTATACATGTACATTTTTTTTTTTTTCTCTCTTCAATTTTGCTTTGCACGCTTTTATTATATTTCTGTGTGAAATGTTATTGCAACATATAAGCGATGATATTATATAGAAAATTTGAGAAAATATTACTTTCAGATCTGTGTCCCAGCCCCTTGATCAATAACAAACGTATACTAAGCACGAAAATTGTTGATCCCGGGGATTGGCGTAACAGAAAATTCAGGGTAAAGATTTACAGCACTGAATAAAAGTAGCCTATATAGATTTCTCAGATTTCATGAGATTTGAGAAATGAATTCCATATACAGCTTGGTTAAATAAGGTGATTTGGGCATAATTTTTAGGTACATGTATAAACACAATGCAAAACTTGTTTTAAACTTTCATTTTCAATGTAAAATGAAAACCAAGCATTTATAAAAGCGGGGATTTATTTTTCCATAATATCAGACAAAATATATGTTTCCAAATTCCCTATAGTCCGGCTCTCAGAAAATGATAATTTATATGAGATTGTAATTCAATTAAAACGTACCGTAAAGTATGGGGAAAAGTAGGTTTGATATTGACATAATAAATCTGGGACCAAAATTAAAGACGGGCTCAGCTCATTTTCCTTTTTAGATCTTCACCTTACTATCGGCCGCAGGAGCGACCAATCTATTAGCGGTTGCGTTTAGAAAATAGAATTTAGTGCCCGTGGGGAAATGAAAAGTTTTTTATTAGTGGATCGATCGAATAATTCTTCAATGATAGAACGTATAAAAGTTATAAATAAAATAGGCTAAAATTGCTTTACACAAATCTTGATTAATCTCATTATGTTTCTTTTTTTCATTTATTTCTCGCCAGATATTCATTTATGATTTTATAAAACGACTTAACGAGAAGTACATGTACTCCTCAACCTGGGAGTGTGAAAGACATGAACGCTTATCGGGGGGGGGGGGGGGGTCCGTCCCAAAGAACCTGTGAACGAAAATACTAATTTTGGCTTTAAATAAAGTTCTACGACTAAAGCTTAAATACATGCAGTTGAAAAAGCCATGCTGCGCTCACACACTAGACCACATGACGTAGTTTACACATTTTTTTTAAATCTATAGTATGATAGCAAAAATAATAATATTTTGTACTGAAAGAAAATATAACAATAGTGTACATGTATATATATGACAGCTCAACAATAGAATATCCTAAGGGGTGATAATGAACGGGATATAAAAACCAAACACATCTGTACGAAGTCTTATACATGCATGTATATCGATTCACTAGGATTTGCAGCCTTTCAGATTTTAGCAAAAGAAAGGTCTCCATATCCTTTATGAGAAAAAGCGATCCATGTATTTTTATTTCTTGATTACCATTTTGAGTTGACTTCCCTGGTTTTTATCGATCTAACTTAGACATTTTGTACAAAAGGGCTCAGTGTGTATAGTACCTAAGGGCTCAGTCAAATGTATCCCCCAGTCTGCCACGCTATAACCCCAGCCCATCCCGTATCACAAAGAAAATTAAGCTTGTATTATGATTGTTTAACGGTTATAGATTCAATACCTTCTTCACTTCATTGTAAACTTTGAGTTTACTTATGATATTAAAAATCGCACGAACTGTAAAAATCACATCAACTTTAACTTCAATTGATATTTTGTACCCCTAATTTTTGAATAAAAACAAATTATAAATAAAAAAACGTCAACAAAGTGAAAATTACACAGAACCGTGCAGATTCTCGTGTCTTTTTCTTAAATCATGAAAAACTGCTTTCAATTGTTCAATCTATGCGACATGGTTATATGTACAGCGCTATATAGCTCCAGGTGCATAAGTACATATATACACATTCTTCACTTTAATGTTTACAAATAGATAATATGATCTAGACACAATATATTTAACTCTAATACTATTAGTAATAGTTGTCGATTATGGTGCTCTTAAATTGTCAATTGCAATTACGTACAATATACTCCTCGCTTTTAAAAAGGGCACAAGAAAAAAATCAGAAGCATGTTTTGCACAAATTTATGCAACTTAATAATTTTACAACTGTACAGGTTGTGTATAATTGGCCATATATGTTAATATAAGATCCAAGATAGAACATGATAGAATGAGCCTCTAAACATGCTAATGCCCCAACTTTTAAACAGCTGGTCGATCCGTGTATTACGTTGACCCATCCATTACCTCCCTATGGACAAAAAATAGTACGAACGTTATACTTTTGGAAGATACATACCATTTGTAAAGAAAAGATCCAAGCCTGCATATAAGTATTGTTATTAATATAACTATTCCAGCAATGAAAATTTGTAGGAACATTTTCGCTGTTTAAATATCTTGTCAGTCTGCATAACCCTCGGCCAGGCCCATTGGTTTTAAGAACCCCACAAGTGCAGAACATCTACAGTGTCAAAATAATGGACCCTGCATGTGTTATATTAACTTAACCGACTATTTTCTTCCTCTTTTTCTCAACAACAAAATAACAAAGTGAAAGTTTAATTAAAATCGACTTACCCAGATGCGACATTTATCAAGTACGCGCTAATTAATGTGTAAATGCAACGCTGAACTCCCCTTGTGAGGTGGAAGTGGAATCGCCCAAGTTTGTTGACATTTGAGAACTTCCTTTCGGCTGTGTATACAACATGTGGATGGCAAAGGAGATATATTTACCCATATGCTGACATAAAATACCGGGTTTGTGGGATCTTTTCTGTCATGGGTGAGTATTTCTACATAAATCGGTTGGTTATTCGAGAATCGCAGACCATGTTAAAAATGTCGAAGCATGACACTCGAGCAATAAACATTAGCTGCTCGGTTCTATACATTTGGCAGTTTCTCCGCTCTGCGTGTTTACATATTATGTTCAGAGGTTGCCATTTACATATCATAGTTAACTTTGTATATGATCTCTTTGTCAACGCAGACATTATTTATAAGGATAAATATCAGTAGATTAGCTTTTGCAAATTACCCAGAAAAATTCAAGATGGCGGATCATTGGAACCCTCATCATCAACATTATCAGACACGAAAAGGCATGCGGCCTACTGAGAAAAGACCTGGTTATAGACGAGTTGGTTATTTCAGACATAAAACATCACACCAGACACCCTGTGTTGGTTGTTGAATATGTGACAGAGGTGAATTTGAAACTAGGGGGAAAATGTAACAGAATATGTGTTAACACAGGGATATAATTAGTTTCATGCTATCTCTTCACAGGAACCTGACCTAGGTCAATATTTATGAGTCACTTCTAAATGCTCCTTTTGTCCAAACCATGTTATACTGAGATAAAATCATTGAAAACTTTCATGTACCTGAGGAATCAGTTCCCTTACAAGTACATAAATGGCAGGTTTACAATGCACCTTTGTATATAGGTATAAATTTTGTGTTCAGATGTATTGTATTTGAAATTGTTGATTATTGACACATGTGCACATATTTCTGGTAGTACATACAGTCATACTAAGCTTCAGTTACACTACATATATAAACAGACAATTGTCATTTAATGCGTTTCATGGCCAATTGTGTATTGACTGGTTAGTCTCACTTAGCTTAATCAATCAACATATTCTTATTTATTAGAAGTATGTTTACACAATGAGAAAGGGTTAATTATTGAATGCATACATAAAGCAAAGAGACACCAAAGATCAACCAAGTCTAAGATTTCCTGTAGAAACATCATGTACATATATGTACTATGATATTAAGTCTATTAGGATTGTCATGAAATCCCCCCCCCCCCTTTCTAATTCTCATGTTTCCTGTGATATCTTTTAAATATTTCAGTAACATTGATGAATCTATAAGCTTTGATGTAGCTGATCACTTTAAACTACTGTTAAACACTTTTTATTCACGAGAACTTTATTTTCGCGTAATTACACGCGATGGTCAGCTTGTGAAAATTTAATTCTTGTGTATACATGTAATTTTTTTTTAGCAAAAAACATATACAGCAAAAACCTCCATTCGTGAAAATTTTGTGTCGCTTATAAATACCAAATACATGTGTATATAACTCGCTAAAATAAGGTGTCGCAAAAATTAAGTGATCTACAGTATTTCACTTCTGTAAAAAAAATACTTTGGGTGTAATAAAATTATTTCATTTGGTGTCAGTTTGGACAATGAGGTACTGATCTTGCTGATACTTATAATAGTAAAGAATTGAAATGGTTTGCATTATTCCCATCCCTCTGAAAAGAAAATGGATGTTTTGAAAGAGAAAAGCAAAAATTTCCAGATACTCCCCATAATTTGAATTATCTACAATATGTAACAAAGAGAACAATCATTTGACGGTCATTCATCAAGTGCCATGTCATTTTCAAATAAAACTATGTGTGACTAAGCTAAATAACCTCAATAAAATGTTGCAACCTAACAATAAATTGTTTATCAACAGATCAGTCAGTGTTAAATTTGTGTTGTGCTTGTATACAACTTGAAAATGAATCAAACATACCAGCTGGGACTTCTCATCCTATCATTTTTAAAAAAAAATTTTAATCAATCTAGTTTTCCTTCTTTCCTCCCAAAAATTGTTAATATTTACACTTTAATATTGTTAAAGTGTGAGAGTAATTTTGAGAAAACAAATTTTATTAACTTAAAAAGGAACTAATTGGGCTTCTAGAATTTTTTTTTTATCTTCTATGGATCATAATTATGAATTCAGGGAGAAATTCAGTGACAACTTGCCCTAAGGGATGAGTATGAAATCATACCCACTTGTCCCTATAAAGATTTTACTTGTTCCTTGTAAAGCCTGCTTTTCACAAAATAATAGAAAAAAATATTAAAGCATGGTTTAGATCTCTTCTCAAACTGTGATCATGGATGTACATTATATGTTCATTTTAATTCAGAGTCGAAGTCTCTTGTCAAATTTTGAAGCACTTTTTATATGTTTGACTTTATCACTGGATATAATCAGAAGAAAATTATCAGTTATTTTAAAAATTTTACTCGCCACCAGGAACAGGCAGATAATGTCATCCACTTATCCTCGGTCGATTTTCACTCGTCCAGGACGAATGGACAGGTGCTTTTTTGCACCCTGAAATTAATAAAAGTGAATTTGCAGTGTGAGAATATTCATGACTGACTTATCAGATGGCCTTCTCAATGTGTTGGATTTCAGATGTGATCAGAGATTCAGAGTAGTATTTGCTCAGTTTAGGTAGTCTTGTTTGCTAGGTTTACTTACTTACTTTACTTTTTTTATGTAGTCCAATCAAGCATCAGGTTATTTAATTGATCACTATCAACATGTGATTAAATCAATTTCCATGCTTGTCACAAGTTTATTAATGAGTGTGTTATAAAAGCTTTAATTATATTATATTTCTTCAATGAATATTTATATTTAGCTTTTGATGTTAAATTTAGCAGAAATAATTCATAAATGAGTAGGTCAGTGTTTGAAGTTCTTCAGATAAATAATTCTTCAGATAGAAAATTTTATTTTTCCTTGCCAATCAGCAGGAGGAGTCAGTAAAATGATTGATGTACATATGTTACAGGTCAGAAATCATCAAAACCGAGAGACTTGGATGGGGAACCTTCCCCCACACCTCGCAAGTCTCCGAAGCGGGGAGGAATGAGGCACCATGAGAGAGCAGAAGTAGCCTCCCCGCTGAGATCAGAGTCCGCTCCCGTTATGGAGCAGAGATCCAGTATAGGGGACTCGCCAAGTCTTCCGAAGAGCAGGTCCTTAAATATGGCGTCTTCTAGCTCGGAACAAGAAACAGACTATGATCAGCAAGACACAGACTATGAGCAAAAGGAAAATGTTCCTCAGACGTGGACAGAAAAATCCATTCCTGATAGTCCCCTAAGAATGAACGGCACTGGCACAGAGCCATTAACACCAAAGACAGTCAATGGAGGTATGCTTCCTCGGGCGGCCTCTACACCAGCAGCCTATGGGATGTTATGTACAGAACAATTACGTAAGTATCACAGATTATTTAGCAGAATGCAGAAACTTGAAAACAAACATCTCACTTGATAAACATGATAAATATCAGATGTTTGTCCAGAAAAACAACATTCTGAGTGACATTCACAGATGCACATGTATTTTGTAATTTTTGAGATAATGATGCATAAAAACTTAAACAACAAAATGTATTCATGAAGGGTAGAGATTTTCATAAATGCCATAGTCACAAAACAGAAAAATAAGTGTTTTTATTGCTCTATTTTTATTTTTTATTATTTTTTTTTTTTACATACCATTATGAAAGGAAAGCTTTCTGCTATTTTCTGGAAATATCTTTGGAAAATATTAAGGACTTGAAAAACATAATATTTTAAAATTTTTTTTGATATACTTATTTTAAAACAAGGATTTGAAATAGAATAGGCATTTCCAAATGAAGTTAAATGTTGTTCAATACTTTGAATTAAATGAGGGTCCATCAAAAACTACATAGCCTTTTGTCATAACTTTTATTTAGCATCATATTATGACCAAATTTGGTAGCAATATTTCAACAATAAATTTTAATAATTTGAATTAAGAAGAACAAATATGATATATTTCAACATGTTCGAAATTATTCAAAAATTAAAACTATAAAAATGGGGTCACAGAGCAGGTCAGAATTAAGCTGTATAATCGCAATACACTATATAGTCTGTAGTCATATCTCTCTAAAATGGCACTAAAACAGAATAAAAATTAAGCACTCAAATGTGTATGGTTGTATCATTTCATTTGCCATGTGATGTTTTATATTGCCTCTTTGAACAGAAATCAATTGCAAAAGACAGGTAGTCCTCATTGAATAGGGAGGAAAAAAATGATGCCTTAGGATGACATGGAGCAGCGGGTAGAAACATAATTTTGTGTTGTACTAGGGAAAACTCCATAAGTAACTCAGAAAATGTTGGAACAAGCAGAAATTTATATCAGACTAGCTTTGTGTGTATGAATAAATGAAACAGGAATTTTTTTGAGTTTTAGAGACTTCTTATTGGCATCCAAAGTAATGGATTATGCATAAAAAAAAGGTTAAAAAAAAACAACTGTAAGTAGCGTTGTGAAATGGGATGTGCACTTCACTGTTGCGGTACTTGTAAAACCAGAGTTACGTTGTTTTAAAAAAAAAATGAAGACATGCATTGACAAACTATCTTGACACTCAAATAACTGTAAGCAAAAGAAAGTGTAAATATTGGTAAAGAAACTTGTTTTAATGATTAGATAAGGCACTGAAGACCGTGACACAGTGTGTGAAATGTAGAGGGGGAGTATTACTGAGAATCTGTCGTGACATTTTATATTTGACGTAAATTAACAGGAGTGCTCTGTGGTGACAAAACGTTGATTTTAAAATAATGTAATGTGAATTCCGTCTGATCAAATGAAATGAAACTGCACAGGTCAACATGATCAAAATAAGGTTTTTACATGTGATAGTAGGTTTATTTTAAATTTCTTAAAAATGATATGTGCCATTTTCTAGGTATTTTTTACAGATGTATCATGTTAATGGAGCAGACAAAATTAAACTTTGAAATGATTGATTGATACTCCACTAAATAAAATTAACTACAACTTGCACAATAAATGGTAAATTTTTTGTATATTATAATCACTTCATTCAGATATGTTGACTATTTAAATGTAATTGCCAGGATATAATTATCTGATTATTTTAACAAGATTTAAATTATCTTTTGATGTCCTCCATTAACATACAACATTGACAAAATCTATAAGTGATTTTTAATGTGACAGATGGAGGCATTGAATTAGTCAAGGTGTGATGCATAAAGTAATAGTAGCCCCCCCCCCCCCCCAAAAAAAAAAAAAAAAGTAAGAAAAATCAATTTGACTCTGAAATTTTAAAATATTTCATAATTATAGATCAGATTAAAAGAACAAGCTCTGTAAAGAGATTTTTTTAAAATAATCTCAGATAGATATTACCTAATTAATTTCATGTAGAAAAGCCTATGGGTGAAGTATCTTTTTCATTAATTAAAACTAAAGAAATGAGTTTTGGGGGGGAAAAAAGATTTAGTAAAAAGTTCAATAAAAATACTCTTTATAATTTGATGTATAACTGTTTAAAATTTGAAGGTATATCTGTGCAAATTTTAGAGAAAGTAATTTTGAACAGATTTTTCAAGGAGACGTAACATATAATTCATACTCGTCTGAATTAAAGTATTATTGTTTAAAATTTAAACTTTGAAAATTATTTTAATTAATCTCACAAACTAATCTGACATAATAGCTGATATAGATTATTTTTTTCTCTCATAGTCACCTATGGTGATATCCACTCTTCGTCAATGTTTCTAACATCAAGTGGAGAAATTGCAATCTTCCAAGGAGGCTGAAAGTATCAAGAATAAGCTAAATATTGGATATTATTTGGGCTGTAGTCCATTCATGCCAATTTTGTGATATTTTCTAGGGTTTTATGCTTTAGTGTCTGATAATATTTAACTAGTCTTTCAGTCCTCCAAGTTCAAGCAGAAATTTATATCAAACTAGCTCAGTTCAAAATTAAATGAAATGCAACAAAATTGACTGATGTTTGCATAAAATTGGACCCCTGTTTAGGCAGCCACAGGACTTTACATACCTAAATGGTTAAAACATGCTATTAAGAACCACTGAAACACTACACTCTTACTTAATTGTGATACATGTATATACAAGCAATTGACCAAATTCTTCACTATGAAAGTGAATGGTTCTAATAAGTTCAAGACATGTTTGTATGTCACTGCTAACATGCCTTTGTTTTGCAACATTTAATTGCCACCATTATTTAATGTTTAATCTAGGTCCTTGTGACACTTTATTAAGTTTAATTAAGAATATATGTCTCCTCCACATATGATTGCTGTTGCAAATTTCTTGGGTTATCCAGTTGCAAAGATGTGAGTTACTTAAATTGCTAGTTGCAAAATCATTTTTCTGGTTGCAGTTTAGTATGGTCATTTAAGTCACAAGTCACAACTTCTAGCACTGTCTCAATAAGAATTTGTAAGATATTAATCAGCTAGTTGAAATCTTGATTCAGACCCCCCTACCCATTTATTGTCTGTGTTTTCTACTGCTAATTTTAGATTATCTATGTGATACCATGTGGGGTAAATGTGTGGTAATATATTTTCTAGACATAGCCATTTTTGCCTTGCCTGTAACCTTTAACTAATGTAATTTTAATTTGTGTAGATATAAACACAGATTCTGACCAGGACCACACAGATCAAAGTGATGATGAAGCCTTAACACCTGTCAGCCAGGTAAGTGATGATAAAGGTTAACACCTGTAAGTCAGGTAAGTGATGAGGAAGCCTTACATGCAACACCCGTATATCAGGTAAGTGATGATAAAGGTTAACACCTGTTAGTCAGGTAAGTGATGATAAAGGTTAAAACCTGTCAGCCAGGTTAGTAATGATAAAGGTTAACACCTGTTAGTGAGATAAGTGATGATGAAGCTTAACAGCCATCAGTCAGGTAAGCAATGATGAAGTCTTACACTGGTAAGTGATGATGAAGTCTTAACACCCATTAAATAGGTAAGTGATGATAAAAGTTAACATGTTTTAGTAAGATAAGTGATGATGAAGCCTTACATGGAACACATGTCTGTCAAGTAAGTGATGTTGTAGTCCTAACACCTATCAGGTAAGTGATGATGAAGTCTCTTTACCTGTCAGTCAGGATAGTGATGATGAAATTTTAACACCTGTCAGCCAGGTAAGTGACAGTGACAAAGTTTTAACACCTGTCAGTTAGGAAAGTGTGATAGGGATTTGACATCTGTTTGTAAGGTTAGTGAAGATAACCTCTATTTGCAGTGATTAGTAAGGAATGTGATAGAGATTTCACATCTGATAGTGTTAGTAAGGTTAGTTTGGTTAGGAGGAAGTTTGGTTCACCCTCTATCAGAAATGCGATGATTTGGGTGATGATAATGATAAAGTAGGGGCTTCAGCTTATTAAGTTGGTGTTGAAGAAACTGAATGATGTATATCAAGTTAGTGCTAATTCGAGAAAATCGTAATATTTTATAGTAAGTCATTTAGTCAGGTAAGCTAAACCCAATATGATACTTGAACTCATTCATAAATGTTTCTGTATTAGATTTCTGAATTAAATTTTTACCATTCTTTGAAACTTGTGATTACCAGATTTATTTTTTCTGACATCTCCCTCTCCCTTTTATGCAATTGAAGACTGTCAACTGCATTCTCAATTAAAAACAAATCAAATCATATGACATAGTATATTGAATTATGTGGCATTTCCATGGTATAAAAGTATTTATGAAATTATTTACAAGCATATAAATCAATGCTTTGCCTCCAATTTAGATTACTGAGTAATTTTACTTCAATATATCAGTCTCATTGATTCATCTGTTCCACTAAAGGATATGACAAAGATTAATTCAAGTAGGTGTGGAGTTGATACTGGACAAAATGGCACCAGATTATAATTGGTTACCATGGAGATTTTAGTGACTTTGTAAGGTGATAGCATTGATTATAATCCAGGGGACAAGATATATTCTCTTGCTTGGAATTTTTCTTTTGGTCATTTTGATTTTTACAATATGTACTAGTTATGGAGTTGTAAATGGATTGATTTTCATTATTTATTTGACAAATAATGACAGGAATACATGTAGGAAGTCCCAAATAAGGCTCCAATTAAAACTTTACCGTTTGAATATGACTCTATCAAATTTGTATGAATTCTAATAGATTAAACTCTGAGAAAATTATGTCTTGTATATACATCTGAGTTATTTTGCATTTTTTTTTTTTTTTTTTTTTTGCATCATGAATTCATTATGCCATTCTATTACTTTGGCTCTGTGACAGAATACTTTTTTTTTTGGAAAAAAAAATTAAATTACAGGTTATATTTAATGAAAATATCCACTTTCACAAAATTAAGTATAAGATATTATATAAAATGTAAATTACTTTGAAAAATTGTTACATGTAATTTTCTGTCACACATATGTGACTTATGTATAAAAGAAAAGAATCACAAGGAAACATGCAGAACGAATAGGTTTTATCATAAGCTTGGTTTAATTTGGATGTTTAAAGAATTTTTACCATACTCCAAGGACAAAATAAATAAATGAACAAAATAAGCCATTGCCAACCATAGTAAACAAAAGATGGGAGTTCTGTATTGTGTTTTAAAAGAACTGTTACAGGAGAAGGCAGTAATGGGGACTTTATATTCATAGTGTGAAGGGTGTGGAGGTACTCACACTTAGGTAACACGTGAATAAGCATAACTCTAAACAAGTTCACACTGTTCAATTCTGTCATGAATTGCTGTCACGAATGACCTTTTTGTAGTTACATTAAAATGTAAACTTTTATAAAAGGAGATGGTGGATTTAATAATCTGGGAGTACTTGGCTGAATGTAACATGTGCTAGGGTCTATATTACACATCAGCATATAATAATGCTATCTTGATAGTGTTTCCCATTTTACAAGTATTTTAATCTCAAAATTCTTTTTTTTTTTGTCTGAAAAATCTTCAGAAAGAGAGAGAGTGTATTCCATGAATAAGTATTACTGGTATATGTATTTACCTTTAATTGTCCATAGATCACAAGTCCACCTTCATTTGTGTAGGGGCTGCCAGTAGAACAAACCAACAGGAATAGACTTTCCTGTATTTATTATTTTTTATTTACTGTGTTGCAATGTTTATTCTCCAACACACAACAGTTTATCTGACATATATTTAGAAAAATAACATGTCAATTTGAATATGAGTCATCATTTTTGAAAGATATAATAGGAACAATTTGTGTCTAATGATGGTTTTATGGTTTTAATAGGACTACTATGAAAAGAAGGCAGTTCTAGACTATGGAAAGTTTTACAATACTAGTTACCTGGGTGAAGGGAAGAGCAACTACCTGAAGAAGGCCCCCCTAAATCCCCGCCAGGAACACACCTCCCCCCACTTCCACCGGCCAGTCAACTTCTCTTACTCTAGGGACAAACCAGAATTTTTGAAACCCAAGAAAAGTTGGTTTATTTTGTATTCATCTGTAAGACTACTTCTCAGATTAAATGAAAATGTTGTTAGTGTAAGAATACTTTTTAAATTATATGTTTGCATGTATTTAAATTAGCATACAGATGGTAGCTTGAAACGCACCTAAATATGATTTAATACTGTTAAAATGAGTATATTTAAAAATGTTTTTTCATATAATTCATAATCATGATAACCTCAGCTAATTTCCTTAAAACTGCAATGAAGATATGTTGTCCAAATTTTGACTTAAGTCACACTGTGTTGTGTCAAGGTTTTGTATGATTTCAAAAATTCCATAGAAACTAACTCTAAATATCTCAACAGATAAATTTTTTAACTATGTGTTAGAATATAAAACCAGTACTTTAAGGTCATTTGATGTGCACTAAACCTCAGTCATGGAACAAAACACCTTTTAAATTGCCAAGTGTATACAGTTCAAAACAGAACATTCTGTGTGTATCATTGAAATATGGTTTTCTCTATGGTAAACGTCTATCTTTAAGTATTTCATTAAAACTTGAGAGAAAGTAATCTCAGAAATCTACAATTTATTGGGGGACTTCTCTTATTTTTATGTTTTTAGCTCACCTGAGCTGAAAGCTCAAGTGAGCTTTTCTGATCACCCGTTGTCCGTCGTCCGTCCGTCCGTCTGTCCATCCGTCCGTCTGTCCATCCGTCTGTAAACTTTTCACATTTTCGACTTCTTCTCAAGAACCACTGGGCCAATTTTAACCAAACTTGGTACAAAGCAACCTTGGGTAAAGGGGAGTTTAATTTTTTAAAATGAAGGGCCAAGTCCCCTTCAAAGGGGAGATAATCAAGAAAATACAAAAATTGGGTAGGGACATTAAAAAATCTTCTTCTCAAGAACCACTGGGCCAGAAAAGCTGAAACTTATCTGGAAGCATCCTGGGGTAGTGTAGATTCTAAATTGTTCAAATCATGACCCCCTGGGGTAGGGCGGGGGCCACAATAGGGAATCCAAGTTTTACATTGAAATATGTAGTAAAAATCTTTAAAAATCTTCTTCTCAAGAACCACTGGACCTGAAAAGCTGAAACTTACTTGGAAGCATGCTGAGGTAGTGTAGATTCTGAATTATTCAAATCATGACCCCCGGGGGTAGGGCGGGGACACAATAGGGAATCCAAGTTTTACATTGAAATATATAGGAAAAATCTTTAAATATCTTCTTCTCAAGAACCACTGGGTCTGAAAAGATGAAACTTACGTGGAAGCATCCTGGGGTAGTGTAGATTCTAAATTGTTCAAATCATGACCCCCGGGGTAGGGCAGGGCCACAGTAGGGAATTCAAGTTTTACATTGAAATATGTAGTAAAAATCTTTAAAAATCTTCTTCTTAAGAACCACTGGGCCAGAAAAGCTGAAACTTACTTCGAAGCATCCTGGGGTAGTGTAGATTCCAATTGTTCAAATAATGACCCCTGGGGATAGGGCGGGGCCACAATAAGTACTACGGGGGGGGGGGGGGGGGGGGGGGGGGAGAGAAATCAGGTGAAAAACAGCAAGGCCAAACTTACTCAGGTGAGTACTGTGGCCCATGGGCCTCTTGTTTTATGTGTACTAAAAGCCTTTTGTTTATAAAGAAAAAAAAAGGAATGCTTTTTAAACTGTGAAAGCCTTGTCACTACTCAGTGTTAGATTTCAACAGATTTTTCTAACCACCTGGTGTGATATATGTTTTACCAACAACTTTAATATCTTTTAACACGTTTTTTTCCAGGTGGTATGGCTGCCTTAGGTAAGTGTGATCATTCAGTAAAGCAAAATGTTTCTTCAGTAATCATCCCTTGCAAAACCAAGCCCCTGTTAATGTTATTGCTTTTTTTTCACCACCAGCTACTGGCACGAAAGTGGTGGTAAAGCGAACGAGGCGGGTTTCCTCTTCCTCTGAGCTCCGGAATGAGGAGGCTGTGAGGATGAGCATGTTCCCCGCTGCCAAGCCCCCACCCCCCAATGAGATCACCAAGATAGAAAGAGAGGACTGGCCTGGACCTCCATGTCCAGCGGCCATTCTACCAGAAATATGTAAGATTTCAGAGAAAAAAATGATTTAGTACTAGAAAAGCATATGACCCATTTTATCAGGGGTTGTGATCATATTAAACAATTACAAACAAAGAACATGTATCAATGATTTTTTGATTATATAGTGAGACAGCGACGTAAAAGTCGCGGTGAAACAGATGAAGAGGATGAAGAAATGCCCCCAGAGGACCCTAAAATTACCAAAGAAATAGAGGAACTCTCCAAATTTAAAGACCAGTCTGGTATAGGCAAAATTATATATAAAGAACTGGAGGAAAAGCGAGCACATCCTGTGAAGGCTTTAGATCCATGGAAAGCTTCTAGAGTGCCAAGTGCTGATCATGAACCTCGATACAGCACACGGTACCAGTCCCCAATGTTTGCCTGTAAGTGTAAACTAAACAGCACACAAAATCAGTAGCCTGTATGATATTGATTCCTAAAGTTTGTCTGGAAGTTTGATTTATGATATACAATGTACGCTTACAAAACAACCCTCAAAATCAGCAAATCTCTCTTTCAGAAAGAGAGTAAACATTACAAAAATTAATATGGCATGTTATTTTCATCAATACTAATTAACTTTGCTCTCAACTTTTCAATTTCTCAACTAACAAACAAGCAGATACTCTGTTTACTATGTTTGACTCATTGTATTATGATAGTTTTTTTTTCTTCCTGTCGCATGCTCAGTTGACATCTCTGTTTTGGTGAATATATGTTCTAGTTTTTTGAAACCTATCTTGGATGACTTACAGCCCAAGGTTACCTACAAGTACTGGTATTCAGGTACGTACAGTTTTATTATTGTACCTACATTTTTGCTGTTTGACAGATCTATTTGATTTTGCAGCTCCCTCTAGATTCCTGGATCGACCACGTCGGTATTGGGATGATAGTGATATATCACGAGGCTATAGAACCATGTCCACACATCCAGGTACAGGCATTTGATTGAGGATTTACACTTAATCTTTGGCAAATGCAAACTTCATTGATAATGTTGTTGAGATTCAGAGAGGTGTTTTGATGGTTTGCTTTAATGTTAAGAACAATTCTTTCTTTCAGTACGAAGAACTAGTTATTCTCTCACTCCAAGGGCTGCCACTCTTCCTGTTTCGGGCACTTTTGGAGGTCATCTTAGCTATGTGAGTAATAAGTGCCATCTTATTCTTTTTTCCACCCTTATTTATATAAGATGTATAAATTCAGAGCATTTCAGTAATTTTGAAATTAAAATTCAGCTCATAAAATATGATCAACTTGCAATTGAAATATTAGGTCACCAGAGTCACTCAAGTGACCTATTGCTCTTTGTTTTTGTCTGCTGTCCTGTGCAAACATTAGATCATTTTCAACTTCTCTGAAACCACTGAACCGATTTCATCCAGTTTTGGCATATAGCATTTATGGGTGAAGAGGAACAAAAATTTACAAGTAATTTACATGTGAAATATGAAATCCCAAGCATAACTTTAAAGTTATGGCCAAGGTTAAAGTTTTTCAAAAGTAGGTCGAACTCCAAGGTCAAAGGGTCAAAATTGTTGGTACCCAATGGAAGGTCTTGCCACAAGGATTATACCAGTGAAATATGAAAGCCCTAGCACTCACTGTTCAAAAGTTATGGCCAAATTTAAAGTTTCTCAAAAGTAGGTCTAACTCAAAGGTTAAGGTCAAAGGTTCAAAATTGTTGGTACCCGAAGAAAGTTGGTGTCACAAGGAATACATGTGAAATGTGAAAGCCATAGTTTCAATCGTTCAAAACTTATGGGCAAGGTTTAAGTTTTTGCGTACTAACAGACAAACCGTATTGATAGCATTGGCAGATAGGGGCACGTTTCTGAGTTTTTGCTGATTACCAAATTAATTATTTTGTTAATCCATGATCATACTTTTTCTCTTGTTTTTCAAGTTTCAGTTTATTTTGTGCTATCAAATAATTATTAATCATTCCATAGATCCTTTACAAGGTTGTATTATACTCAGTGACTGTAAAGGCCCTTGGGCCTCTTGTTTTTGTAAGGACCCAGGAAAGCATGACATATTTATATGAAAAATTTTTGCATATAACTTTCAGAGATACTATGATTTTGAAGATCTGGGATCCAGGAGTCATCCTTCAGCAAGTAAGTCTACAAATCAGACCTAGCAAGTCAGACCCAAAGTCTCAAACCCTATAATTCAACAAAGTCAAATCCCATAAGTCACAGTAGTCAAAATCCTTAAGTCAACTTGGTCAAACTTCATAAGTCACTTAGTCAGACCCAATAAGTCATCTTGACTCAATAAGTCAATCCATGAGTCAACTTGGTCAGACCTCATAAGTCAATCAGACCCCACAAGTCATTTTAGACCCGATTAGTGAACTTAGACCCCAGAGGTCATCTTAGACCCTTAAAGTCATCTGGCCAGACTCTATAAGTCACACAGACCTCATACATGTAAGTAACCATTGTCAGTTACCCAAAGTCAGTCACTCTAAATCTCGTTTATCACCATTACTCAACATATATTGGACCTCACACGTCAACCTTGTTGCTTACTTGCATTTTATCTAGTTAAGAGTGTTTGAACATTTTAAACTTCATGCTAACTTAAGTCTTTACATTTATTTTGTGTATCTTCCAACTGTTTTCTCCTTGATAAATCAGAGAAATTTAAGTGTGTTAATTTTTCAATGTTTGCAACTGAATGTGAATTTCTTCAGGTGAAAGCTCAAGTGCCTAATATGCATGTCAATTTCCTGGATTATTGTGTCTGACATCAATCGGCTGGGACTATGGAAATTAACATGGAATGCTTCTTGTATTTATTTTACAATACAGCATTTTTAATCTTTATTTACATTTTTATTTGACACATAAATGTAAATATAAGGAATTACTGTTTAGTTTGTTGGGTATACCAGGGACATTTATGACAGTTGGAAAGATGGGATAAAAAATATGCAAAACGGGTTTCGTCGCTTATGCAAATTATCCCACATTTCCACTGTCATTGATGCCCTGGCATACCCGACAGACTAGACAGTGATTCCTTGAATCAATATTACATTTTTCTTTTCTTTTTAGCTCACCTGAGCTGAAAGCTCAAGTGAGCTTTTCTGATCACCTGTTGTCCGGCGTCCGTCCGTCTGTCTGTCTGTCCGTCTGTAAACTTTTCACATTTTCAACTTCTTCTCAAGAACCACTGAGCCAATTTTAACCAAAGTTGGTACAGAGCATCCTTGGGTGAAGGGGAGTTTAAATTGTTAAAATGAAGGGCCAACCCCCCTTACAAGGGGAGATAATCAAGAAAAGACAAAAATTGGGTGGGGTCATTAAAAAATCTTCTTCTCAAGAACCACTGGGCCAGAAAAGCTGAAACTTATGTGGAAGCATCCTTGGGTAGTTTTGATTCTAAATTGTTCAAATCATAGCCCCTGGGGTAGGGTGGGGGCCACAATAGAGAATCAAAGTTTTACATTGAAATATATAGGCAAAATCTGTGAAAATCTTCTTCTCAAGAACCACTGGGCCAGAAAAGCTGAAACTTATGTGGAAGCATCCTTGGGTAGTGTAGATTCTAAGTTGTTCAAAACATGGCCCCTGGGGGTAGGGCGGCGCCACAATAGAGAATCAAAGTTTTACATTGAAATATATAGGCAAAATCTTTGAAAATCTTCTTCTCAAGAACCACTGGGCCAGAAAAGCTGAAACTTATGTGGAAGCATCCTTGGGTAGTGTAGATTCTAAATTGTTCAGATCATAGCCCCTGGGGGTAGGGTGGGGCCACAATAGGGAATCAAAGTTTTACATTGAAATATATAGGCAAAATCTGTGAAAATCTTCTCAAGAACCACTGGGCCAGAAAAGCTGAAACTTATGTGGAAGCATCCTTGGGTAGTGTAGATTCTAAGTTGTTCAAAGCATGGCCCCCGGGGGTAGGGGGGCACCACAATAAGGAATCAAAGTTTTACATTGAAATATATAGGCAAAATCTTTGAAAATCTTCTTCTCAAGAACCACTGGGCCAGAAAAGCTGAAACTTATGTGGAAGCATCCTTGGGTAGTGTAGATTCTAAGTTGTTCAATTCATGGCCCCCGGGGGTAGGGCGGAGCCGCAATAAATATTTCAAAGGGGAGGTCTTGTGAAGAACAGCAGGGCCAAAGTAACTCAGGTGAGCGTTGTGGCCAATGGGCCTCTTGTTTGACTTTGTTCTTACTGTTGATTGTTTATATTGGATACAACAGTATATACTTTATTTTCCTGTGGAGGGGAAAGAGATTGTGGTTCTTTCTACTGAACATCAAAGATGATTATAGCTGTGTCACACCAGCTCTAAATGAATACATGTATACTCATTTTAAAACACTTTAACAATTAATACTTTGAAAGTCTTAATTGGGTGTAGAAAAGTTTATAGGTACTATCTTAAATCAGAGCTTACATGACCCTTTTCACTTGGGAATTTTTGTTAATTTTGGAGGAAAAAAGAGTCAATTTTCAATAGGGACTTTATTTATTTACTGTGCATTCATTGGATATTAAGCCTTGTTAATTTTTGGACCACATCATTTTTGTTTGTATCTGCATAATTAATTTTTTGTACTGTGTACTTACTTTTTCAGCTTCTTCTTCCACAGTTAATACAGAGGTATGTCTTAATTCCGTATTTTTACATGGTGTCTGGTATATTGAAAGTTTCTTTCTCGTATTATGGTTATGATGAAAAATTAATGCTTTTATTTTGCAGCAAGAATCTTTTGCGACTTCCAGTATATTAGGAGGCCAAGGTATATCTATAATTTCTCTACAGAGAAGTACGTGGCACACAGAAGCTGACCCCCCGGTAAGTGCTCAATGTTCACCCCCCCACCCCCCCTTTTACCATGTAAAAATTTTGCTGTAATGATGATTTTCCAAAAGAAATCTAAATAAACATGGAAATGTGAACAATTTCAGCATCCCTTGGAGAGAAAAATTTGACAAATATATATGGAAAAATAACTATTAACATGAAAACTTTTAATGGAATAATGAATTCATTCTAGTAAGAGTTATCTCTCTTGTTGGAGGGTTGATGAACCTTAAGCCTAAAAAAAATCAGACATATAATACATGTATGTCTGCATTCTTTCTGTGCTCTGTTTGAAGTACAACTATATGTATGGAAAAGCTGTGCTGTTTTACAGAATGAAGTTGATGGAATGAATTTTTATCCTTTGTTATAATGAATTGTAGATCTATCCATATGATAAGCTGAAGATTAGTAATTTCGACTTGCCTAAAGATGTGGATAGAAATATGCTGGAGGTAAGCTCTCATGACTGGTTCACTGACATCAGATAAAAGTACAGAGAACTAGCTAACTTTTGATAAGAAATCTATAGACCTGTGTGAGCTTTGTATATTGTCTTGCATTCAGAAGAGCAAAGAAAATGTCAAGCAATTACTTTTACTTTTTGAAATGTATATATGTGAATCATAATAATATTGTTTCAAAAAAAAAAATTCAAGTTATGGGAAACAAATTCTGTAATAAAAAATCAAAACTTTTTACTTGTGACCAATAGTCCCATCCTAAAAACTAGTCAATTTGATTGGTTCTCTGTAAAATTTCGATTTTTTGGAAAATTGTTTGATTGGTTCTCTGTAAAATTTGGATGTCTGGAAAATTGTTTGATGGGTTCTCTGTAAAATTTGGATGTTTGGAAAATTGTTTGATTGGTTCTCTGTATAATATGTTTGAAAAATTGTTATACTTCTCCACAAAATCTATCTACCCTCTGTTATCCAAAGTCAGCCAGGCTACTGAAGTAGGCAGTTAAGACAGACATTTCCTTTATCTCAGACTTTTAAATATCAGTACTTGTAAAAAAAATGCCTTCTTATTTTTCCAGATTCATTTACGTCCAGAGGACTTTAATCAACTGTTCAAAATGGATAGGGAACACTTCACAAGACTACCAGAATGGAAGCGTAATGACCTGAAAAGGAAAGCAGACCTATTTTAATTCCTTAGACCAGCATCATCCAAGTGATACAATGCAAGATGTTTTATTAATTTGAAATATGATTTATTTGCTTAAATCATGTTACCTCTGCCTTAGTAGGATATTGTGGATATGTGGCGGTGCTGCATACAACATATCATTGACTTGTTATGTTAGACCGAGTTCGATTTAGTATCTTTGGAGTTACTACAGATCTGTAATGACAGTTGTTGTGTTATTATGATCTGATTTATTCTTGGCCAAACAACAGAACAATCAAGTTTAGACATGTTAGAACTGAGCTTACTGACTGTAGATGGTTTTCGCTTTATAATGTAGTGTAATTATGAAAGTAAATGGGAATTCGTGGTACAGAGTATTGTGCTTAAGCTAATGGAACTACAATTGATGCTGTATTTAACATTGCGATACTGAAATCAAATATGCATATAGTGATTTTTTAGTCTTGGTGATTTTATAAACTGGGTTAGTGATTTTATTAAGTGTTAGTGATTTTTTTTCTTGTTAGTGATCAATAATTATTTTAGAAACATTATTTATGGGTGCTAAGCTTTATACATGTATTTGCTCATGTGGCAGAAGCAGTCAGCAATTCTTGTCAGCTTTGTATTTTAATTTTTTTGTTATTTTCAAAAAAATGAATATAAGAGTTTTATATCATATCATGGTTTCAGAGTCCATAAAATCTAAACATTATGCATTTATTAGGATTATTTCCAGACAATCTGTAGTATTAAATAATACTTTATTTTGAGTGATGGTAATTGCTTATAATAAAGAGAAAACATCTTAGTTTTTTTTTTTTTGCTACAGAGCATAGATTTTGAGACTTTGTTAGGACTTAATGTGTTTATGGCATTATGATATTGTGTAATTTTTTTTTGAGTGATATTGTGGATGATATTACTGTGATTTATATATACAAATCCTTTTTGATTGCTTACTGGATGCAAGTATCTACTGTATGATGTTAATTCTTCTTAATGCATGGGCTGTATAAATTTCCACATCTACTTGCCTAATGTTTTATTTTCCCTAGTTTAAAGGATATATCCACAGCGATTGTGATTCCTTGTGTATAAGTGTGTAAGGCAAAACAAATTCATTTTGTTTTAGGATGATGGTTGTATTTGCAGGTATATGTATCTTGTAAGTTTTAGGCACTTTTTAGTGGTCTGAAAATGGGTAAAAAAGTAAATTCATGGGGCAATATTTTATGTTTAAAACTTTTTTTTGCTTTACATACATGTATATTTTTTTTTCTCTATTGAGTTATTTAATTCCAGTTATTGATGCTTTTACATGGAAAAAATAAATACATGCAGTATTAGGTAATTCATTGGAAATTGTGAATCTTTGATCAGTGTCTCTGATGAATAAAAAAAAAACACCCAAATTGTCTGTTCTCTGTGAAGCTTTTTTTCAAACAAAGCTAGTGGCTGTGTATGATGCTTTGAGGTAATTCAGCCATCCAGCTATAGCAAAACTTTTAAAAACAAAACAACAACAAAACCCCCCCCCCCAGTATTTTACCAATGACAGGGTTTTATATGAGGCCAGTAATATGAGACTTGTGGAACAATGACACAAATACATTTTATGGATATATACATGTATATACTTTTTAGAAATATTTTTTATTGTATGAGACAAAAGACTAAGTAAGATACCGCAACAACAGATTTTGCAGTAAACATTGCCTATGTATTAAAGCTTTTCCTGAGAGATATCCTTTGCCCCTTAGCTTGCTAACATTTACCATCAAATTTACAACTTTAACAAAAGTGACCTTTTTGTTAACAGATAATTTAAAAACTGTTGGATTATTTGGTTTTTTGAGTCGGCTCACAGAGCGACTCATTGGTATCACAGCTGGAAGTGTAAAAATTATCACTCATTCATCTAGGTGATTCATACACCAAATAAGATAGTTCTAGCAAAAAATGCTTTTGTTTGAGTGATTGCTTAAACTTAGAAGGTATAAACAGTATAAAATTTCATAATGTAACATTATTTATGTCTTCAGTTTTTTAAAAGAAAAATTCGATTAAATATCTGTATAATGCATGTACAAATACTGCGTATGAATATACTAGTGTGTGCAAGCATGTTAGGCAGATCTAATCTTCCCATCTGAAGTTTATCATTGACCTATAATACTCCCTAACACACACACCTGCTGTTCTCATTCACTGCAGCTAGTGTACCTGAAAAATCTATTTTTAGAATCCAGGTTTGTAGTGTGAATCATTGACCTAATTACTTTATAATACAGACCACTGCAGCTAGTGTGCTTAATTTATTTTTAGAATCCAGGTTTGCAGTGCTGCTTTCCACAATGCTATATTAAATTATTATATGTTACTTAACATAAACATAATCATAATGCTTAAATTAAAGTAAAATTGTGTGAATACATGTATATAGTTAGGCGGATCTTGAAAAATTTTCCCATAGATATCTAACGTTTGTTTTCCATTACTGGAGGTTGTTTTTAAGTGATTTATCTTACGTTAAAATGTTATTTTTTTTTTCCATGATACTTTGTCTCCCTTTTTAACATGATTTTCCCTTTTCCCCTTGTTTTTATTTCACCACTTTGCTGTATTTTTTTTCTTAATAGAACACTGAGATCTAGTAAGATTTATAATAATAATAATTAAAAAATACTGAAGAGAAGTTTTTTAAAGAACTCATTTGACTTAAAAAGGTGGGAGATGTTAAAACCCTTCACCTTTATTTACTTTTTGGGGGGGGGGGGGGGGGGGCAGGGGGGTAAATTGAGACCCGTTCAAATTTAAACAATTGTATTTGGATCCCTATTCAAAATGTTGTGTTTTTTTTTTGTCACATTGTGTATTTACAAACCCATACTTTAAATAAATTTAAAAATTCTCATGTGAGGTGGGATTGATTTGAAGCTTTTAATTTTTTAACCAATCATGGAGACCTGATATTCAATTTCTTAAGATGCAATAAAAACTGAATATAAGGCATGGTGACATGTTGTATGAAAAAGCTCAATAAACTCGAGCGAGTCGACTCTCAGGCCCTTTAGGCCTTTGATTTATTTTCTTCAGTTTCTTGCATCCGCGATCACAAATACTACAGTATGTATATCTTTCACAGCAGTCATCCAAAGAGATTCTTTGCTTTATTGGAAGTTGTACTCAACAGTGATATAATAACATTCAATAAAGAGAGAAGAAAGAAAGTCCTTTATACTCAGAATTTTAGGCTGTCAAACCAACATCAACAGAAGAATCTATATATATATATATATAAAAAGATAGAACATACTAAAGAGGGTCAAAAAAAACAAAAAAAAAAACAGGTTTACCACAGAGACACTCTACCCAAGAGAGGATGAATTTAGCAGATCTTACAATAGCACATACACAAGTTCTCACAGAGCAAAGAAATTCAGCAGAGCTAGGGAAAGCACATATGTCACAGTTCATATTTAATTATCAATAAATATTAATTTTGTAAATAAACTACAGGTACAATGTATATTTGATTAGCGCGCATTGCTAATCGAACATAGCGCTGATTGCGTGAATGAGTGGCATGTGTGAATTTTTTGTTTTGTCACATGATGTTTCTATTTTTAGCTTAGAAACTGACCAGGTATACGACTACGACCGGTGGACCAATGACTGACTACTATTTGAGAATTAATATGCATGTATACTAACTCCGTGCACTACATAAGCGCCTTTCCCGCCAATTCAAATAGGCTATCAGCTTCTACCTTTACGATGTAAGAGATCCAACCCTATATTCAACGTTTGTAGTCATCGAGTTCCACGATACCTTGAGTCCTTGACTAAACTTTACATTATTATATTTTATAATACTTGATACCTGGTAAGATCTATTTCTAATGATGTAAACACTTTTTAAATGAATTACGATAATACGTTACATATCTTTATTAGCGGAGACGTGAATTTGTCATGTGTAATTTGTAACTTTGAGTAATGTGCTGTATTTGTCTCTTGTTAATGTGTGTGTCGGGAGTGTGTTTTCTAGGTTTCTTTTCTTATCCTATTAAAATTTCATCAAATCTTGACGAATCCAGCGTTATTGTCTTTAACGATGACCCTATGACACATATAGAGATTCTCCCAGAGGAAAACAATTCAGCAGAGCTGGAGATAGCACAAAGACAAGCTATCAGAGCTGAAAAGAATTCAGTAAGGCTGGAGATAGCACATTCACAAGTTCTCACAGAGAAAAAGAATTCAGCAGAGCTGGGGATGATAGCAGATGTACAGATTTTTAGAGAGGATAAAAATACAACAGAACTGGGGATAGCATATACACAAGTTCTTCCAGAGCAAAAGAATTCAGGAAAACTGGGAATAGCACATGCACAAGTATTTACAGAGAAAAAGTATTCAGCAGAGCTGGGTATAGCACAAACACAAGTTCCCACAGAAAGAAGAATTCAGTAGAACTAGGGATGGAACATAGCTATAGACAAATTCCTACCGAGGAGAAAAATTCAGCAGAGCTGGGGATAGCACATACACAAAAGTCTTCGAGAGTAAAGGATTTCAGCATAGCTGGAGTTAGCAAATTGGCAAAGTCCTTTAGATATCGCAGATTCAGGGCTTCCATTGAAACAAACGTATCCAGAGAAGAGGGTAGCATACACAGAAGTAATGTATTAGGGCTAAAGCAAGATCACTTAGAGAATGAGAAACCTTCCAGACAGGTAGCAGAAGAGAATGAGGAGGTGACAAACAGGAAGTTACAGAGGACAGGAAGGGAACAGATCCAGAGAGTAGAGAGGGAGGAACAAGAGACTCCAGACAACAAAAAGATAACAGTTATACAAGAGGTATTACAAATCCTTGCATAATTATCAGGTCTATCAGGTAGGGCAAAGGCAAACTAAAATCAACTCCCCAAAATACTTAAATGTGTCCATTTGAATATGATATTTTCTTTGCTCTCTTTTTCAAGATTTATAAATACATGTATAATTATGGTATTTAAAAACAGATATATGGTTACACGTAATAATTCTCTTGTTTTTTTCTCAGCTGATGAAGGGAGACGATGCTTATGAAGACAATAACGATGTTGGCTTGTTTGGTGTTGACTAT